TTGTTTCTAAAATTGGAGCACTGTCCGTAATTGCAAACTCATTAAGAACTGGAGCACTGTTCCAACTCTATCAGCAGCTTGCTAGACATCGGTGTTGTACTGTCTGGTTCTGGAACATCTGACAGCACCTTAGAATTCACACGTTTATTTTCCCCCCCAAGTATTTTTTCAGTCCTGCAACACATTTCCTTTGTTCTTCTGAATGCTTAGCTTTTCTCCCATGTAGGGTTAGCATAGCTAAACATATTGTAATTCTTCAGTGCAGTCCTGACACAAAATAACTTGCGCACCTCAAATAAATGAAGGGTGTTGTACTTTCACGATTAGCAATCTTCCTCTGAATTCTTCCAGATTCCACATTTTTGGAAGGGTGTTTCAGATTAATGACAGAATACTATCTTCCTTTACACTCTCTCCCCCTCTCTGTCTTTCTCATAATAGAGAAATACAAAATGTATCCAGATGGCTTGCTTCAGTTGTTAACAAGATTTTTCTGGTGATGGTTCCTAACATCACTGTCTCCATTTCAGGATACAACTGGAGCAGGCTTGCAAAAGACTGATTTGTTTGGGGGAAGGTTCATCAGTTCTCCATCCTTGGAAGTATTCAAGAGCAGGGTGGACAGACACTTGACTGGGATAGTTTAATTAGGGATGATCCTGCTTTGAGCAGTGTCTGGATTAGGTGACCTCGTCAGGCCCTTTCCAGTCCTACTTTCCTATGAACCTGTGAACTCCCTCTGAGTCCTCTACTTGGTACATTCTTGCCATATGCAGCAGTATCCACAGTGGCCATTTTCTTACTGATGGTACATTGCTGATTATTTTAAATACACAGAATTTAGAAGTTCCTTGCTGGATTCTTCTAAAGAAGGTGACATTCTTAATGAAAAGCATTTGATAGCATTCATAATTTTTAATTCTGAAAGTCAGTAGCTCTGTTCACTTCCAAGCAGTGAAATGAACAAGAGGTACATTAGTGGAGACAGAAATAGAAGCCATTGTCTCAAAGACGACAAAGTTTAATACATAAATTATTGATTTTGGATGAAAACTGACATTTATTGCTTTGTAATATTTATAAACTGGGATTATCCTTCCTCTCCCTTCTCAGAAAGAACATTTGGGAGATGCCTCATTCGTGATCCGGGCAGTGAAAATAGACTAGAAAGGTTTTTACAGCCTTCATCTACCTGGTGGAAAGCAGTCTTCCTCCCCTTCATGAAATCTAATCTTAACTTGTGTTTGTTGGGTTGTCTAGCTTTCCCTGAATACTTGCTTGTATGTAACCACCCCAGACAGACTAACGCTTACAGGTAAACTTCAGGGGTGTGTGAAGCAGGCAGTATTCGATTTGGATTCAGCCCGATTCGGGGAAGTGATTTGATTCGCTGATTCAGATCACTGTCCTGATTTGATTTGGCAGTATCTGAAGATTCGATTCTGATGTGGAGAATCAGTGATTTGGCCATGGACACAGCTTTTAAATGTTTTTTCTTCATACCTTGAGGTACCAGGCGCAGCTCGTGAACACTGAGATGGTGGGACAGATGGAGCGTCCCACAGGAGTACAGGGGGCCCCCACATGCTTGGCAGTGGACCTCCCTGTACCCCCTGGCTTTGATTGGCCATGGGGGGTCCCGGGTGCCCCCCAGACCTAGGAGGCACCAGTCACTGAGCCAAAGGGGTCCCCCGTGCACTCCACGGTGGACCCAGAAGTGGACACGAAGTGCTTCTGGTCCACTTCTGGGTCCGCCGCTGAGTGCGCTCTGGACCCCCTGCACTCCTGTGGGACGCTCCATCCTCCCCACCATCTCAGCATTCACAAGCTGCCTGGTACCTTGAGGTATGTAGAAAAAACATAAAGCTGTATCTATGTCCGAATCATCAAATCTCTCTGAATCTCTCCAATTCAACTCGGAGAGATTAAAGGGTCTCCTGGTTCGATTCAGATTCAGAGATTTGGCTGCTGAATTGGGCCGAATCTCTGCTGAATTGAATCAGAGACCATAGCTTCACACAGCCCTAGTAAACTGTGCAAATATCCATGCATAAAGTATGCCCCTTAAATTCAGTTCTTTACTATAATGTTTTCCATACAGACAGGACTCCAGATCTGACAGCAATGTTTTTTTGTAGGAAGGGACTTCTCTGAGGACTGTTTAAGAAGTACCCCAAGTGGTCGAGCGTCTGGCCACTGTCTCTTTGTTATTTCTTAGATCCCTTAATAGGGCAGGACAATTTCTTCCCATTCTTCCCATTTACCTATAAAAGACTGTTTTCTCAAGATCCCACATATTCTCCTGAATCACCCCTTTCTGACTTCCTCCACAAACGTTACATTCACATACGAGTCCTCCACAGTTTCTTATTAAATCTCCATTGTATGTTTTCTAAATATATTGAACATTTATTTTTTTGTTTTAGATAATGTTTTAGCAGTCACTTTTCTTGCATCAGATTCACTATGTCATTCTTTGGAAGGTGGAAGCAAAAAAAAAAAAAAAAGCAAAAAAAAAAAAGCTCATTGTTGGCATTTAATTGCTAAATCAGCAGCACCCACTCCAGAGGCCATCTGCTCTTTGTTTCTGTTAACAATCCGGCCTTCCCATTTCTATTGTTTTCACTGGAGGTATCAAGCTGAATGCAAAATTGTGAGTACAGTTCACTTTAAAGGGATTTAGCTCACAATTATGCACCTGCATTTTGAAACCAGACTGAAAGTCTGAGTGCAGTACAAAAATCAGTATGAAAAATGGAAGAAATCTAGGTCTTCAATTCTTCCTTTTCCAACCACTGCCCATCCAAATATGAAGCAACGTATGCAGGGAATTAGTCAACAAATTTACTGTACAGATCATTTTAATTGGTATATTACCAAGACATAACAATGTGTAAAAAATACATAAATAAAAGAGACCAATAAAATGGAAGCAAATGAACAGCTTGAATCAATGTAACAGCACAAGAGCTGCAGGACTGGGGGATTTGCTTAATCTCTTGCATTTGAACTTGATAGAACTTAGTCTCAGCAAAGAGTCACTGCAGCACATGGCCACTTACCCCTCAGATGGTCTCCTCCATCATTTTTTCAGAGTGAGATTGATACAAGATGGGCTGTGCCCATCTGCACAGGAACACTTAGTGTCAGGGTGCAAAATGGTCGACAAATTTATTAATCTTCCCAGGACAAGCAAGCTAAAAAGATGCTGGCTGAAGATCTTGGAATATCTTGCTAACACTTTCAAATTGTTGCTTCAGTTAAGTTCTCTTATAATCTAGCTCAAGACTCTCCTCGTGGAGAGTACAGCACCATAATGCCTTACTTTATTAATTTGTATGGAGCACACCAACATAGTGTTTAGCATTTAACTTTTATTTCATTAAGATGATATATAAATAAGAGTCACTCATATGGTAGCCTGTGAAATTAATGCCTGTTGGGTCATATTCTTTGTACCCAAGGTCTTGTATCTTACTCAAACGGCAGTGAAGCAAAAGTCTGCTAAAAGATCTGCTGGGAAGTGGCTCTGACAGACAGTGAATTCAAAGTGAAGACTTATTCTGTGTTAAAAGAGCTCTTTGGAGAAAGGAGGCACCATCTCAAGACAGGAAGAGAAATTCTGTCTTCAGTGGCTCCTATGCAACAATAATGAGGGGGAGAGTGCATGGCTGTAATGAAGTCAAGAGTTTGGTCTGAGTTTTTATTATTTTAGTGGTAATTCTTCTTTCATTTCTTGGCACTTGTTTAATGAAGAGGCAGATGTAGTCTGATAAATAGTGGGTGCATCTACACATGCCCGATTGCACAATTGTCCCTGATTGCAGCACATGGGTTGTTTTTGACCCTACAGAGCAGCAGCAATGAGCTACTGTACAGTAGTGGCAGCATCACGGTTAGTGCCTGCTGATGCTATGTCGCTTTAGCAATGAGCCATGTCGCCATAGCTCATCGCTATGGTGACATAGCATCTTGTGTAGATGTGCCCAGCGTGTGGGAAACTGGGTTCTCAAGCTACTGGCTTGTTGTGTGACCTTAAGCAATTCCATTCACTTTTCTCAATTATCCTATCAGTGAAATGGGGAATCCTTGTAAAGCACTTTGAAATCTACAATGAAAAGGACAGTGAAGACAAGTTAACTTGAATTATTATAATCTAGTTGCATCTACAGTCAGGGGAAGATGCATGATTGAGTGGTGGATTTCTTTTTTTTTGGACAAGAACTGCAAATAGAGGAAGTCGAACGTGTACCAGATAGACTGCTGACAATACATTCTTGTTAAGGGAAATCTATTTTTTTTCTGCAAAAAGCAAGATAAAACTGAAAATTCTTGGATTCACAATACTAAGTGAAAATATTAGGTTGGAGGAAAAACAAGGGAGGAACATACATAATTTCATGCTTTAGCTGCTACTTGACAAATAGGAAATGTATGAACTGCAGAAAACTTGGAAAATGGCCAAAACTGTGATATATTTAAGCTGCTTACAACATGCAATTAGTAGGGACCTACTTAATTCGTGATTTCACAGAAACAGCGAAATCCACAACTTCCCACAAAATCAACTCAGACAAATAAAATAAAATGCCAGCTCCCCAGTGGGAGCCATCAGTCGTTACTGCCATTGCAGCCTACCCAGGAGAGGAAGGTGCTGGCTGGCAGGGTGGCATGAACAGCAGCCAGCAGCAAAGATAGTGGCTGCCCCCTCCCCCCTGGGGCTTTTCTGCCAATCAGCAGCAAGGAGCAGGGCCACACAAAGGGTAGCCAGAAGCCCAGATGGCAGCCACCCCCTCACCCTCCTCCTTCTTGGGGTCTCTGCCAATTAGTGGTAAGGGGCAGAGCTGCTGGTAAATGCTCGCGAAATTGGCTCTTTGTACTACAACCAAGGCACAAAAATTCCTTTTTCTGGCCATGAGTTAAGTAGGTCCCTAGCAATTAGATTAACATTTGCTGAATTTGCTTTTGAAATTACACACAAAGTAAAAATGAGCAGGGAACAACTTTACATGGATGAGACTTCCACATTTATTTTTCTTCCATGTGCATAGAAAATGGCAGTGGAGTAACCTATGAAAGAGGCAGGGAATGGGAGTGGTGTAGATATACTGGACTGTACTTTGTGCTTCAAAATTACACTGTTATTTTAAAAACCAAAAATGATATATTTTTTTCAATTTATAACAGTTCCTTGGATTTTCTGTCTGTTTCTAGATTTCATCTTTTCTAATCTGTGTTAAAATGACACAATTCATTACAAATGATGGCACTTTTAACCAATGTTGCATTTCCATATTTACACCAACAGAAAAAATGTACAAGACGTAATAGCATACAATCATGACATGTAGTAATAGCAATAAAACAAGGGCATCCATTTTATTTTTTCTGTACAAACTTTCAGAGCAAGACTTTTATTCACATTAAAAAAAAATCAGCTTTAATTTGATCTGATCTACACATTTCCCAAATTCATGTTCCTCAATTCTCAAACCTTTCATCACATCGCCCACACCTTCACCAGACTACAGGAGCTACAAGTAATTAGATCTAACATCTAAACAGAGCAAAAAGACCTCCCTTCCAATTTCTCTCACACCTTCCTGACAATTCCTTGTAAAAAGCTCTTCCTTGTGCCTTCTTTTATTTCACTTCCACATTTCATCATCAAAATAGCAAACAGGCCATTCCTTTTCTTCTCAAGCAATATTAGAAAGATAAAATGTTTCTCTGTGTAACTTTCTGGTGCTACACCCAAGAGTCAGGAGAACCTGGGTATTGTTCTGCTCTATAAGAAGGTCGTCTAGTGGAATAGAAATCTACATAATTTGTGGTTGACTTCAGTCCGTATTGTGTTGTGTAATCAGAAGCAGCTGGAAAATGAACTCGGTCGTCAAAATATGGGTCCTCATAGCTATGTGGGGATTGCAAATATAATCTGTATGTGTCATAGTTTTTTCTGTTGGTGTCATCTTGACTGTAGTATAACTGCTGATGCTGTTGACAAAATGCACAAATAAATATTAGTATTTTATAACTGTGTTTGAAGGAAAAGATCTTTGAGTTTTTCAACTTGCTTCTGAGTCAGTTATCAGCATATGTATAATGGGCTTTCGTGTACGCATTTAGCTACCTATTATCTTCCCATGCAAAATAAGAGTTGTGTGGCTACATTTCTGCATACTGATCTGTACAATTTTAATCTAGGGTGCTCAGTTAATTGAGTCTGCTGGAGAGTGGTAATTACTGCGCTCCAGCAGCCTCCTGTGTCTCGTGTATCAGCGTTCCCATGCTTCAAAACGGCAGCGGGGGCGCTTTACCTAAAGCTTGCTCAACAAGCTTTAGATAAAGCACCCCTGCTGCCATTTTGAAGTGCAGGGACGCTGATACATGAAACGCTCCAGGAACTTCAGTTACAGCAGTGCTAGGAGCCACTTGAATTAAAGCACCACACCCCCCTGCCCCCCAACTCATGGAGCACATGTATAAACACCCCTCGTGTCTAACGTTTGGATTTTTTTAGATCTATCATCAGTAAGTGCAACCAGTGGGATAGGTAACATAGGCAGGACTTAATTTTTTAAACCACTGAGAAGGATTACCAAAGGAAAGATAAAACAATGGAAAATTTCTCTTCTACCTTATTCTTTTTTTACCCACTGGGAATCATTGGTCTAAAAAAAAGAGAGAGAGAGGCAGCCATATTTTATTGTCAAACAGCTGGATAAGAAATTGGTTTTGTGAGGCAGCTGTTTTCTAAGTAGAATATTAAAGATTTTCTTAAAGAAACTAAAAGTCAGGAGATGGGTGTCAGCTCCAACCATAACAAGAGCAGACTGAAATCAAGTGACAAAAAGACATGGAATTAAAAGGATAATAAAGTGGCAACTGATAGCTTATCTCCAGGTACAGTAACAGTCTATAAAAACAACTAACTACATGTTACAAGTGTTTTATGAGAAGTGTATATAACAGCAATAGTATCTCCCTTCAGTTTGTTAAACCAGACAGCACTAATATAGGATGAGTCTTTTTAGCAGCATCTTTTGAAATGAGATTTCAAAAATCACCTGTAGCCGTCTATTTTGTTCTCGTGCTGGTGAAGAATAGGAACTGATGTAAATTGGTGAAGCTTTGCTGGACCCTGTAAAAAAATATTTTATGGTATCAAATTTAGCAGTTATTTTTTGTATGCCCACCTTTTCAGTGTCATCTTACCTACAATAAATAAAGTGGCACCTGTATATTTAGGAACTTGTCTGCACTGCTTACTCCCTCTGTGTTCATTCACAGTTGGAAGGAACCTTGGGGGTCATTTAATTCAACCACCTACATGGATGCAGGATGTGCTGGTTTTAAAACTGTCTCAGGGAGGTGCCTACCCAGTAGGGCTGTGCAAAGCTTCGGTACCTGATTCAATCTGGAGGACACTGGGCCCGATTCAGGGACTGAATCTCCAAATCCGAATTGAATTGGGAGACCAAATAAAAGCTCTGAATCGATTTGAAGCATCCAAATTAATTTCGAAAAGCCTCAGAAAAGATTCAGCTGATTTGGAGATTCAGCCATAGACTAAA